TAAACTTTCATTTGGAAGTCACCTTGAAGTTATTACTGCCTTTACCAGTTTATATTTTTCTTTATGTCTGGAAGTTTTCTTTGTAAATATGATTTCATAAATAGAAATATTACTTTATCCTGCAACTAAAATAAAAGATAAGCAACAATAGATTTAGCAGGAAATTCTAATGAACAAAAGAATTCAACAGATATTTACTGATCACCTTCTATGTGCTGTGTGTGCACAGAGATAATGGTGTACAAAAACAAAATGAAGTAGACAGAAATGTAAATAGGCAAATTTAATATGTTGTGATAAGTGCTGTGTTTGGGGATAAAGACAGAAAACTTTGGGAGTACATTGCACAGGTACCCAACCCCGAACAAAGAAGAAATCCCAGAGCAATGTCTCAGCTAAGAACTGAAGACCAGTAACTTGGCCCAGTAAGGTAGTGAAGGGAAGTGCGGACAGGGAGTGGCCTACACAAAGAAAATATACACAAAGATCTGAAGGCAGCACAGTTCACTCATGAGACTACATGTGTTTCAATAGAATATAAATAGTGCTGAATTAGCTACACATATGGAATTTAGTTTCTCTTCAAAGTTTGTCCTTGGGTCAATCACTTCACTAGTTCTACTTCCATTTCTTATCATGGTATGTCACTATAGTTGTTTTATAATAGCAATAATAATAATAATAATAATTACCATTTATTGAACATTTACTAAATGCCAAACACATTTAATCATCACTTCGACCTATGAGATGACTACTGTTATTATCCCTGTTTTGAAGATGTGGCAGCTGAAGCTTACAGAGGTTAAGTGCCTTTGTTGAGTTTATACAACAAGAAAGTGTCAGAACTGGGATTTGAATCACATCTAACCTCAAAGTTTTTTTGGTTTTTTGTTTTTTTTTAATATATGAAATTTATTGTCAAATTGGTTTCCATACACCACCCAGTGCTCATCCCAAAAGATGCCCTCTTCAATGCCCATCTAACCTCAAAGTTTTAAGTAATAAATACTACATTAAAGAACATTAAAGAAATTAATTAAACATTTATTAAATTAGACCATTAAAGCAACTCTTTATTTTGAATACTTGAAGGTTTTGTTATTATAATAATTTCTTATGACCATAAGCATCAGAGCAGGCACACATTCACACCTCAATTAACTTTTCTTTCAAAAAGAAAAAAAAAATGGTTACAGAGAGCAGTGAATACCATTTATGAGTATTTTCTTTCCTATTTTCACCAAAAATATAAAAATTTTAACACTTTTTCAACATTAACATCACCTTTACCTAAATATTTTGCTAACATGATTTTGAGTGTCCATTATAGGGATTAGCCCGGTTTTAAGGGTTTGCATTCATAATGTTATTGATCCTCACTCTCCTTGAAAATAGACATCATCCATGTTTTACAGATGAGAAATCCAAAGCTCAAAGAAGTGATTTACTCAAAGTCACACAACTCCTAAGAGTTCATGAACCCAGAATTTGAAAACCAATCTGATTCCAAGACCAATGCTCATTCCGTGTTGCCTCGAGATAAAAGCCATCTTAGAATACAGAGTTAGAGATGAAGTTACATAAATGCAATATACAATAATGTTCACCTAATAGGAGGCCATTCTTATTTATAAATTATTTCATTTTCCCTTTCCATTTAAATACAGTTGCCCTTGAACAACATGGGTTTGAATTGTATATGTGTCCACTTATACACAGGTTATTTTAGATTTTTTAAAAATACAGTACAGTGCTGTAAAAACATTTTCTCTTCCTTATGCTTTTCTTAATAATATTTTCTTTTTTTTAGCTTACCTTATGGTGAGAATACAGTATATAATACATATATAATACAAAATATGTGTTAATTGACTGTGTTATTGGCAAGGCTTCTGGTCAACAGTAGGTTATTAACAGTTAAATTTTGGAGGAATTAAAAGTTATACGTGGATTTTTTATTATAAGGGTTGGTGCTTCTAAAACCCACACTGTTCAAGGATCTGATCAAGGTTTCTGTATGTGCAGAAATTCACACAAGACTATGAAATAGTTGATTTACAAATGAGAAGGATTTTGAATTAGTACTTCAATTGCATTTCAAATAGCATTTTGCACCTTATTTCACATATCTTTCTTTAAGTCTTCTAGGGACGCCTGTGTGGCTCAGACAGTTAGGCAGCCAACTTCAGCTCATGTTCTCATGGTTCATGAGTTTGAGCCCCACATCAGGCTCTCTGCTGTCAGTCAGCACAGAGCCTGCTTCAGATCCTCCGTTCCCCCCTCTCTGCCCTCCCCCTTTCCCTTCCCTTTCAGAGCTCTTACTCAATCTCTCTCAAAAATAAACATTAAAAAAAAAAAAAAAAACCCTCTTTGGGGCACCTGGGTGGCTCAGTCAGTTAAGCATCCGACTTCAGTTCAGGTCATTATCTCGCGATCTGTGAGTTCAAGCCCCTCGTCGGGCTCTGTGCTGACAGCTCAGAGCCTGGAGCCTGCTTTGGATTCTGTGTCTCCCTCCTTCTCTGCTCCTTCCTGGCTCGTGCTCTGTCTCTCTCTCTCAAAAATAAATAAACATTAAAAAGGGAAAAAAAGAAAACCTCTTCTTTTATAAAGTTAATGCACATTTGGGACACATTTTCAATTGGGATATCAATTATACTTTCATATACTATTTTGTATATCATTTAGTTTTCTACCAAATTAAAAATGGTAGATAGTTCTATTTAATGAGTATATCATAATTTAATTAACTAATTGCTTATTGAACATGGTTCAATTTTTTAATATTATCATCTATACTGTGATGAATATCTTTGTAGATAAATCTTTGCACCCATCCAACACCTTTGCATTTTCAGTTCATCTTTTTTTAAGGCACAATAGACTTCACCCAAACAAATGACTCCAGTAGTGGCAATTTCAGGCAGTAACAAGTATGTGGGAAAATATTTTGCTGTTGGTGATCTCTTTAGCCATCTCTAATTGCCCTCTCAAGGTGACTGCTTACTTTGCCAAGTTAGAGGTTAGTTTGGGACAGCACTCTAAAAGTTTGAGAATTAGAACAGTTCCTAGGAAGCCTTCTTTGTGATGTAAAGTGAGGCTATCGTGTAAGGGAAAGGAGTGAACCAAAACAAGTTTTGTGATAGAATCATAAAGCCTAAGAGGAAAGATTACTTTCCTTTCCATCTTCCCAGCATAAGGCCTAGAACATAGTAGCCAAGAATGGCAAACAACCTTCAGCTCTATTGCCATCTCTGATTGATTAGTGGTGGCTGAAGAAGTGGAGTGTTAAGACAGTCAAGATCAATGGGAAGAGCACTGTAATCTGTTAGCTGTATCATTTAAGGAAAGAAAGAGGAGTAACAGTCTACGGGTCACAAGTTTGCCATCCCTCTAGCAAATGTGTGAGTAAATAAATGATAAAAGGTTAATCATATAAAAGTGCTTTGCATTACCAAACTCTCTAGTCCAGGGGGCTTTGAATGAAAGTTATGGTAGTATTTTCTTAATATTTTAAAAATTATTTATTTTTTGAATCAGTAATATCCTCATATAATTAAAACTCAAAAGTGAGGAAACGGTATACAGTGAAATGTAGTATAGGTTGTCCTGTCTTGCACTTCATTTCCCTGTCTTCTATAACCCCTCTTCACCAATGTTAATATGAGAGACTTTTTTTAAACCTAGGCTCTAACTCCTATCTTTGTAGAAATTAAATTAATTATACCTTATTTGAAAAGGCTAAATCATTATACTTTTCAAGAGCAGATTGAACCTATAAACAATATTGAACTTAAACAACTTGTCTCTAGTCAAAAAACAAAAACATTATTTATATTCACGAACTATATCAAATTTATGTCTTTGGTAAGTAAATAAGATTATGTAGTCAGTATCTTTTTTTTCCATTTCAAAGAAGAATTTATTCACTAAACATTTATTGGGATCAAATTCCTTATGTTGGTGGACATTACATTCTAGTAGTAAAAGGAAAATGACAAGCTGCTAAAAAATGTGCCTGCAGAGAGGCTCCTGGGAGGCTCAGTTGGTTAAGCTTCTGACTCGTGATTTCAGCTCAGCTCATGATCTCATGGTTTGTGAGATTGAGCCCCAACTTGGGCTCTGAACTGACAACATGGAGCCTGTTTGGGATTCTCTCTCCCTCCCCCTCTGCTTGCGTTCTCTCTCTCTCAAAATAAATAAATAAACATTTTAAAAAATGTGCGTGTAAGATTTCTCATAGAGTTAGCTGGTACTGAGAAAACTAAACTGGGTAAAAAGTATAGGCTAGAAGGAGATTGCCACCTTATGTTGAGTCATAAAGAAGGAATCACGGAGGAGAGAATAGATGACCAGGTAATTTAAGGAAGTGAGAAATGAGTCATGTAACATTGTCAGAAAGAGCATTCCAGGTATAAGTGACAGCAAGTACAAATGCTCTGAGGCATTTCAGATGTGACTTTAGAATATTTAAGAAATGATAAGAAACCAGTGTGGGTGAAGCTGAATGAAAAAGTCTTGAAGCAATAGGAGATAATACCAGTTTATGTAGGGTTTTTTCTGAATTAAATGAAAAACTTTTTCATTTTTATTATTTTATTACATTCAAGGTAAAGGAGCAAATTTCTGTGTATGAAAGGTCTTTATAACTAAAAGCCCTTTACAGATGTTATCAAAATTATGCTTAGAGATTGCATTTAATCTCACTATAGTTACATTATAGCTTTCACAACTGAACTTGTGTTAAAGAATTTAATTCAGTGCTTATCACCCATGCTTTTATTTTATATTACAGGGAAATCTCATTCAGTTCCTCTTCATATTACAATTTGAGGTTAATCTTTAAGTCTTCAATGGAAATTTTGTAGAAGTATCAAAATTAGGCAATTTTTTATTTCAAACTTTAAGTTCTTAAGAATCCATCATGCTCTAATAAACATAGACTTGTTATTCTTTAGAAATGACTGAAACTTTTTGTTCTTGTTATTATTTGTAACAGCATGCAAGACGACAGCGTAGAAGCTTCTACTTCCATATCTCAGCTTCTAAGAGAGAGTTATTTAGCAGAAACTAGACACCGGGGAAACAATGAAAGGAGTCGAGCAGAACCTTCCTCCAACCCTTTCCATTTTGGCAATCCTTCTGGAGCTGCTGAAGGGGGAGGAGGCCAAGATGACCTTCCAGATCTTTCAGCCTTCCTGAGCCAAGAGGAATTAGATGAAAGTGTCAATCTGGCAAGATTGGCCATCAATCATGACCCTTTGGAGAAAGCAGATGATGCTCAAGCTAGAAAACGCCTTTCATCTGATCAAATGAAACACTCACCTAAATCAAGTTTTGACCCCAACTGCTGTCAGGATAACTCTCAAGGTTCTACTAGCTCTAGAGAGAGCTCCCAGGAGGCAAAAAGGCCACAGTATAGTTCTGAAACCCAGTCCAAAAAAGTATTCTTAAATAAGGCTGCCGATTTCATTGAAGAGCTGTCTTCCCTTTTCAAAGCCCATAGCTCCAAAAGGATTAGACCTCGTGCCTGCAAAAACCACAAGAGTAAATTGGAATCTCAAAACAAACTTATGCAGGAGAATAGCTCCAGTTTCTCAGATATCTCAGAAAGAAGAGAAAGATCTTCTGTTCCCATCCCTATCCCTGCAGATACTAGGGATAATGAAGTGAATCACGCCCTTGAACGGCAGGAAGCTAAGAGGCGCGAAGCTGAGCTGGCTGCCAGTGAGGCAGCTGGTGGAGACACCACCCCTGGGTCTTCACCTTCATCTTTGTACTATGAAGAACCTCTGGGGCAACCTCCCCGGTTCACTCAAAAGTTACGGAGCAGAGAAGTTCCAGAAGGAACCAGAGTACAGTTGGATTGCATAGTGGTAGGAATTCCACCACCTCAAGTAAGGTAAAAATGTCCCATTAGTAATGCTTGGTAATTGCTTTCCATCCACCCGGATCCTCCTACGTCTATCTTTTAAGTATGTGGTTTCAAAAATTATACACTCCTTTTGCGAAAAAGAGTGTAACGTAGCACTCTCCGATAGAAATATAATATCAGCCATATGTGCAATTTAAAACTTTCTAGTAGCCAGATTTCCAAAAAATAAAAAGAACCAGGTGGAATTAACTTTATAATTATGTATTATTTAACCACCATATTAAAATATTATGATTTCAACAGGTAATCAATATAAAATTATTAATACAATATTTCACCTTATTTTTGGCATACTAAGAGTTTTAAAATCCAGTGTGAGTTCTACACTTATAAACAGCACATCTCAATTTGACTGCTAAATTTTCCTAGGAAATACTTAATCTGCATCTAGATTTCGTAACACTTATAGTTGAAAAAGTAGCTTGACATACCCAAGTTGTTCCAAACATAGTTCAAAATTTCCTAACAGTGGAATTCAGTATCAGTTTTTTAATTTAATTAAAATTAAATATAATTTGAAATTCAGGCTTGGTTGCACCAGCCACATTTCAAGTGCCCAATACCACATGTGGCCAGTGACTATGGTATTGGATAGCACAGGTCTATAGCCTGAAGCTTAAAAAAAGAAAGTATTTAAGATCTGTACTCAATGAATACCTGTGGCATTTTTTTAACTTTAAAGAAAGCCAAATAATAGAATAAAGATTAATAAAATAAAGATAGAATAAGGCTGTGGCCTAGTAAGATCAATTTAAAGATTCATTTTACATGTATTTATTATAAACCTTTTGATATCAGCTTAATGAACACTATTCTCCTTAAAGTCCAAGTCTTTCCCTAATATGACTGATGAGTAGAGAGGATATTAATCTTTTATGTGCCTACCAGTTAGCTTTTCTTTGAAGCAAATGAAGCTTCAGGGCTCCTCATTCGCATAAGCGTTTCCTAACTTTGCTTTCCCATTGCCCCCATTCAAATCTGATCAGATTCCTAACTTTGTGGTCTAATTTTATTTTATTTTTTAAGGGGTTCTTCCACATTTATGAGCTTTAGGCCTCACAAAACCCAGAGTGATATTTGCAAACCCTAATATTATAATGTAATAATATATGAATAAACTGCTTTATGTGTATTGCTTTTGTAGAGAATTACTGGTATTTAGAATCCTGTAACAGTCACTTTGCCTTCCTAACCATTTATTTACTAGTAGAATATGACTTAATTACTATTTAACATTTATTCTAGGTGTTTAAACAGGGCCTTGTCTTTTTCTTACACAGTATTCATATTATAGGTATTATGAGACAGTAATAGTATTAATAATAATAGTTTTATTCGTATTTGCATATTGATTCAAGAGATTCTAGTCCAAAGATGTGTTCATATACTGAATTCTGCTTTTCAAAGGCAACATAAGGCAATATTAAATATTATTTCTACAATGGTGTATACACTACTATCCAGTTATCCAAATGACCTCCTTGAGGGCAGTGGTTCTCCTGTGTATCTTGACCACCAAGCACAGTTTCAGACCCTTAGTAGTCACTGAGAAATTTTAAGTAAACTAATGCATAAAGAAACAGGAAAACAAGAAACTAAATTTAGATTTAAATCAGGAGTGAGTCATTTGACCTAAGATATGGCAAAGGGTTGAAATTGTACCACACAGAGCAGTATCTACCTTTCTACCCTAAGCATGCCTGATGACACTCTCTAGGATTCTGGTTGGTAATGCTGGTTAGATGTCATCACAGCACCATGATAGAAACTACTCAGTGACATCTGGTTGGCCTAAGTAAGCTGGGGAGCATTCAAGTTAGAGTACATGTACAACTTACTTTTCTGTTAAACCCACTACTTTTTGAACATGGGTTGGACCAAAAAAAAAAAAAAAAAAAAAAAAAAAACCCAAAAAAACTAGACCAGATCATTCAGAACTGATTCTCCCTCTTTCTTGACCATGACAATCTCAGATACAAAAAAAAGAATTCAGTGCTCCTGTGAGAAAAATCAGCCAGGAAGAATTATAAGATACCCATTCCCCAAAAAACAAAGTTATCTGGTAGTCACTCAAAAACTACTTAACCAATTACAAATTTACAAACTTAAAAGTGAAAAAAAAAATGTACACAGCTTCTATGTAGCAATACTAGTTTTACCTGGAAGAATTTTCTTACTGATTGAATTCATGCCTGTATCTCAACCACTGGTTTGGTGCTGGGAAATTCCTAGGTATTCACTAAATAGTTTCCGAATGAATTAGTACCTCATTTTATGACTGCAATTATATTGAAAAAAATTTTAGAATTTTCCAGGTTAACTATTAGCAATCATTATTTTCCTAAGTCCACAATTTATTTAACTGTAATTGGAAAAATATATATTTAGCTTTTACTATGTGCTCTGCCCTGTGTTTACTGCAATGACAGAGACAATATAAGATTTGTCCCTGCCCTCAAGGAGCTTGGGATTCAGTTTTAAAAGATCATCCAAATGTTTACAGTATGAAACCATAAGAACTATCAGGCTTCAGAGAAGGGATGGAAGACTAGAAAGATCAAAGAGGCTTCAGACATCTAAGGTGAGAAGGAGCGAGAGGATTTAGGAAGAAATCTACTCATTTATTCATTCATTCAACAAATACCTATTGAATTACTAAAGTGACTCACTGGGAGTACAAAACAACTGTGAGCTATGGGAGGTCAAGGACCTTGTTTTGAAACCAAGTCTAAAACTATTCTGAGAGGGTAGCTCACAATCTAAAAGAGCAATCAGGCAACCATGTAATCAAAACATTGCAATATTGTGTGATAAAGTCTATAACAGAAGTATGTGTAGAATGCCATAGAGGCTTCAAGGAAGATGTGATTATTTTGCCTGGAGTGCAGGATAAAGGAAGCATTCACACAGGAGGTGTCTCTTTAGTTTGAGGAGACCATCAGTGGAGGAGGAAGCAAGTGCAAAGGCCTAGAGACAAGTGTTTTCAAGGAACTGCAAGTACTTGACTGTGTGAAGAACATGGGTAACAGATGAGCAAAGATGAGAGGAAGATCGAAGAAGTAGGCAGAGGGATGGGTCCTTTTAGGCCAGGTCAACTTAACATGTTTACATAAAGGCACCGATGCTGGAGTAGTAATATTTTTATACGACAGGGAGGAGACTGACCTAATTTGAAAAGAGAGTAGAGCCAGATGATTTTGCAGAACCTTGAAAGCAAAGCAGAATAGTTCAGACTTGGTTTCAAAACCACCTGGAAACGATTTAATGTTATGTATAGGGAAGTACCAAGATGAAAGAGGGCATTTAAGTAGCATTAGTCTGGAAGAATGAGTTAGACTTGAAAAGAATGGAGTCAAGAAGCCAATAGGAAGCTGAGGAAGGTAGCCCAGACATCAGATGCTCTGATCAGATTTGAATGGGGGCAATGGGAAAGCAGAGAAAAATGCAAGCGAGCAAGATTTAGAAGAAAAGAAATAAAATGAAACTTGGTGACTACTGGATAGGAAGGATGAGTAAAAAATGCTACTCCACGTGCTTGAAGACGGGTACCTGAGATTATAATGGGGTCATTGGCAAGGGCTAAGAAAGTGGAAGAGGTGGCTGATTTATGGCGGAGGTTAATAATTGGAGTATGAGGAGACTGAGAGATGATATCCAAATAGGCAGTTGGAAATGCAGGACTGAAGGTCAAATGGGAGGGTAGTGGAACTGGAGACATTCCAAGGAATGACCTGGACACTGGGAAATCTGGACACAATATCTCTGTAATTACAAAGGGACTATATATAAGCAGGTAACACTTGGAACTAACTTCCACTAGTGCCAGACTGGAGTAGTGTTTTCCAATCTTCTTCTAGCAGTAACTCCTCCTACCACTTTTCTCCCCACAATGAATCTGTTACATGTTATTCCAACACACACACACACACACACACACACACACACACACACACACACAAACACATATTTTAAAAAATTTGGGTGGCGGCGGGGGGGGAGGGGAGCCTGGGTGACTCAGTCGGTTAAGCGTCCGACTTTGCTCAGGTCATGATCTCACGGTTTCTGGGTTTGAGCCCCACATCGAGCTCTGTGCTGACAGCTCAGAGCCTGGAGCCTGCTGGGGATTTTGTGTCTCTCCGCCTCTCTGCCCCTCCCCCACTCGTGTTCTGTCTCTGTTCAATTTTTTTTTTAACTTTTATTTGAGAGAGAGAGAGAGACAGAGAGACAGAGTGTGAGTGGGGTTGGGGCAGAGAGAGATGGAGGCACAGAATCCAAAGCAGCTCCAGGCCCTGAGCTGTCAGCACAGAGCCCAACACGGGGCTCGAACCCACAAGCCCTGAGGTCATGCCCTGAGCCAAAGTTGGAGGCTTAACCTACTGAGTAACCCAGGTGCCCCTACAAACACATATTTTTGAAAGATAAAATTAGAGCTTTTGAAATTGAAAAGCATTGGGATGGAAGAAGCCTGGAACTCCTGAGTCGTCTACACAGAATCCAGGGGCACAGATTTTGATCCAGAGAATTCCTTAAAAGTGCATTAAAATAATAATGAGACATTTCAGTTTAGCATATGGGAATATGACAGTCAAGGAGAATAATATCCTTTTCATTTTTGCAAGAAAATGTTCAAGTATATCTGGCAACTGAGGTCTAACCTTGTATCTGTGTAATCAGCATTTTTTCCATGTTCTTATAACTCTGGTTTAGCAAATTGAAAAATCATCTTTGGTATATTTGTTGATTTCCAAGTTAATTGGGCAGAAATTATCTTGTTCTGTAGAGGGGAGATCCTATATCACTGAAGGTAGTGTTTTTGAAAGCTTAATTTTGGACATAGCTTCATTGGAGGAGTTGTCTTAGAAAATGAAATACATTCATACATTACGCACAGATGAAAGAGTCTGCAGGAATTCACAGCAAATGGCCATGATCCCTTTTTGTATCCTGACTTCAAATTCTTTTCCCAG